GCTCTTGCTCAGGCTGGTTTTGAACTGATCTTGAGCGATCCACCTGCCTTGGCCTCCCAGAGTGCTAGGATTACAGGTGGAGCCACCACATCCAGCCCCCAAACTTTCTTAAAAGGCATTATGGGCCGGGTGCAGTGGCTCACGCCTGTAATCCTAGCTCTCTGGGAGGCCGAGGCGGGCAGATTGCTCAAGGTCAGGAGTTTGAAACCAGCCTGAGCAAGAGTGAGACCCCATCTCTACCATAAATAGAAAGAAATTAATTGACCAACTAATATATATAGAAAAAATTAGCTGGCCATGGTGGGGCTGCCTGTAGTCCCAGCTACTAGGGAGGCTGAGGCAGTAGGATTGCTTAAGCCCAGGAGTTTGAGGTTGCTGTGAGCTAGGCTGACGCCACAGCACTCACTCTAGCCTGGGCAACAAAGCGAAACTCTGTCTCAAAAAAAAAAAAAGGCATTATGCTCTATGTTGAAATTGCTCGAAGCTTCACCATGAATCAAGGGAGGAGTTACCAAAACAAGACCCCAAGGAACTGTGAAATATCTTTCTTTCTTTCTTTCTTTTTTTTTTTTTTTAAAACACATGCATCTAGTCCATGATATAGCTGCTTTAATAGTCAAAGGAATATCACCGGTTTCCCCCCCTCCATATCTTTCAGTAATCTTTATGCTCCAGGAAGAGGTATCATGTTAATCCTATGCTCTGCAAACGCCTAACATAGTTGGTACTTCCAGTTTGAGAAGCAGGATCTACATGGTTTGGTAACTTGTTTGTTGCATACAGTAGATGCTGCAACATATCCATCTATCACATGGCAGATGATGGTGAACATATTCTCATGTCATTAATACAGTCTTCCATTGCAAAGCATTCTGTGGCTACATAATGACCATTGTGTGCATTAGTTCTACAGTAAATTTAATCAAGGTTCAAGGTTGTTTCCAATGTTCTTCTACCATAAACTATCCTAGAGGACCATTCTTGTAACTAAATTTTGGCACATTCCTAGAATTGCTGAATAAAGTGTTTGTAAACTTTTAAAGTTTTTATCGCATACCAATTTATCCTACAAATAATTACACCTATTTACTTGACATTAAATGACATATTTCATGTCTTTGTCAGTTTCACAGGTGAAAAAATGTCATGTATACAAAATTAATCTGCATTTCCTTAATTACTAATGAGGCTGAACTTCTTCACTAATGATTAATGATTTGTAGTAAGCTGCCTATTCATGTCCTTTCCTATATGGATTTTTAAGCTCATAATCTTATGATGCCTTAAATAACTCTTTTTAACTTATTGATTCTGGAAAGAATCCACACCCAGGAAATTATCAGAAATATAGCATGGATAAAGAGTGAAAATCAATAAAGGCCAGGGCTATAGGACAATATAACCTGAAGAAAATCTTTCAGCTGTTCGAGAATCACAAAATGTTTTTTTAAAAAAGAAGATATAAGATGTATAGAATCATTTATAAAATACCTGTGCGTTACATCCTCCATTGTAGGCATAACCTTTGGTGAGCTTTCCAACTCCTTCATCCCAGTCCCAATCATCGTCATCATCATAATCCTCCTCCTCCTCATCTTCTATCTCACCTTCATTCTTCTTCTCACTCACATTATCTTGAAGGTCTTTAAATAGAATGTCAACCTCCTTTTTGATTATCTTCAAGTCTGTGTTTTCACTAGAAGTAAGAATGTTTTGGCATATTTAGACATAATCTAACTGAACTCACATATTAAGATATAATAAACTAAACAGTAAATCTAAAAAGTTTCTTTACAATATATCTCACAATAAGCTTTCTTAATACCAAGTTCTCCTGTTTTTCAGTTCTGTTGCAGTTGTTGCTTATTCTCCATGCCCAAAGCCCACTAGGGAAAAAGTACATCAAGTGTTAAATCCGCTTCTGCCTTGGTGAAGTTAGAATTTACATTGTTCTCTTCTCTGTTGAATAAACTAACTTTGATGAGTACACCAGATTTGACTCTAGGAAAATCATTCGCAGAGTTACTTTCAGAGAAAGAAAAGCTTTCTGACAAAATTTGGGAATAAGTCTAATGCAGCCTTACCCTGAACTCAATACCATTTGCAACAAAAGGAGCTTGTATCAAGATATGTGTTACACAAAACTCCAAATCACCCTTGTTCATGAAGAGAAGGAATGTTCAATTTATAAGACAGCAGAAGTGGGGACTGTCCAACTGGGAGAAGAGGTCCAGGGTAAAGGAAACACAATTGGTAAGGTCTTTTCCCCACTCCTCTCCCCTATGTTAGCATTCAGGCCCAGATCTTCTTAGTTTTTAAAGAGAAGCCAGAAATCTGGATTTTTGTGTAAAATCTTCCACTTAATTGACATATTTACTTTTTACAAAACACTGTGCATATCAAACAAAATACAACTGCAGGCCAAATTTAAAAGGGGTCCTTGCCAGTTCTGACCTCTCATGTATAGAATAGAGACAGAAACCATATACAACAACTGATAATATGCACTACCAGCTTAACAGTCAGACATGAGTTTAAGTAAATTCAGATTTATTAATTAGTCACGGCTAGGAGGGCTCCAAATCCCCAGGGACATGGGTAGAAAGAAAACAAAATAATCACTAAATGCCTGCTATTTACTAGGACTTCTTGAATATAATCCATAAATTGATACTTTAGTTGCCAATAACCTAGGGTGACATGTTAAAGTTATAACTGCATTTGCACACAGGCTTCTCAACCTCAGCCAGATAATTCTTTGTTGTGTGAGACTGTTTCATACAACATAGATGTTAAGCAGCATCTCTGGCCTCTCTCTACCACATACTACTAGTGCACCACCAACTCCAGTTGTGACCAAAAAAAATGTCAGAAATTGCCAAAAGTCCCCTGGGGGCGCGGTGAGGATGACAAAATCACCCCCAGTGGAGAACCACTGAGTTATCCTCACAATATCTTGCACTTAATGGTAAATTAGTGCACTCTCACTACCATTAATGATTACCAGCTACACTGGCTATGTTTCTTCTTCCTGCTTAACTTCTTGCCTAAGGCCTTTTGTAAATTGATCTGTAACCAGAAAATTGGAATGCCCTTCCCATTTCTCTGGCTAAACCCTACCCACCCTTCCAATATCATCTTACTGTCAGTTGCTCAGGGAAGTTTTTCCTATTCTTCACCCATTTCTCCTTTGTACTACTTACTCAATTCTAATACATATAATTTGTCTAATTATTAATATTATCAGTTTTCCCGGTTGAGTGCAAGCTCTGTGTCAATCAGGGTGTTTACTAATATATACTTACCACCTAAAACTAGACCTGACACACAAAAAGCAGTCAACAAGCATTTACTGAAAATATCCCCAACTGATTAATAAAATCTACATGTATTGAATCCTTACTATAAACAGAAAGTACAAACCATTTTTTCAGAATTTCAAAACAATTCTATGTTTCATTTTACTCTTAGGTAGGAGTAATCCTTCATTCCTCTTTCCTCAGATCCCACATCCAATCCACCGCCAAACCCTACCACTTCTACCTTCAGACATATCTCTAGGACCTGAGCTCTAGTTTCTTCCGTCTTTGAATGTGATTACTTTATTACTTTTGAACTGGTCTCTCTGTTCCAAGCTTGCCCTCCATAACCATCTTCTACACAGAATGATTCCCATAAATCATAAATCAGACGATGTCACTCCTCTGCTAAATTCTCCCATGTCTTTTTATTAATATAAGACCTAGAATAATTTCGACTGTTTAGTATTCCTTGTAAAGCTCTACATAATCTGGCCCCTTCTCACTACTTCCACTGTTGCTCTAGGCCTCCTGGTGGTCTTCCTTACACAGCTAAGAAGGATCCCACCGTCAGACATCTGTACTTGTCACTCCGCCTGAAATGCAGTTCCTTCCGTTCTTCCCAAGATTAGCTCCTTGTCATTCAAATCTGGACTTAACCCTTCCCTGGCCATTCAGTTATTACTTAGTATACCAACCTATTGTAGTCATCTGCATCGTATATATCATTTGATTTTTTTTAATGGTATGCCTTCCCTAGTAGAAGGTAAAGTTCCATGACAGCAGAGAGTTGCTTCGTCTTGTTCGTCATTATCTCCAGTACCAAGGAAAGAACATGGGACACATTAAGTGCCCAATAAACATTTGTTGAACGCTGAATGCAGATAAACCGCAAAATCCTATGTTTGCAATCATTATTCCCAACTCTGCCTCTGAGCGACGCTAACTGAGTGACCCGGGAACCGCTGACTTCCTCGAAAAGTGGCTTTCAACTCTGCCGCAATTTGGGACGAAAGACCGACTGGAATGCACAAAGAAGCAAAAGACTGAGTGATGAACCACCAGCCTCCCTGTAAACCACAAATCAGTGTCAACTCCCCGAGAGGGCGGAGAGGGAGAGAGCAGAATCCGAACAGGGTCGGTGTGCTCTACGTCCGTCTACCTGTCGGAGGAATCCGCATCGTCGAACTGCCCGGGGACCACCCGGCTCATCAGCAGCCGCCGGTAGTCCATGACCGCCGCGCGCCGAGCTCTCAGCGCCACCGGAAGCCGCCCGCCTGAGGTGGGACAGGAACGGCACAGAGAGGGCTTTACCCGCGGCCTATCCAACTGCCCCTGCGCGGATCCCAGCCTGGCAAACCGCGCAGAAGCAGGCCAGCCACGCCTGCCACGTGCTACCGGGGTCCCGACTACAGCACAAGCACCCCGACTATCCCGAAGCCCCGCCCGGAAGCCCCGCCCCATTCGGAAGTGGGGCCCGACCGGAAGTTCCGGCCCCCGCGCCGGGCGGCGCACCCGCAGCTCGCTCCGGACGGTGCAGGGGAGGGACATACCGACCGCAGTGTCAGGCAGGTGTAGTGAGTCGCCTGCCCGTCTGGGTGTGTGCCGGCCGTTCCTCCCACAGCTCTTGGTGTCCGCACTGTCCTTTGTGTTCCCTCTCGCAGGCGGACGCGCCGGCTAGCCCGCGGGCTGTTGGGTCTAGTGGGGCTCACACCGTCATAACTTCACTACGCTGGGAACACAGACGCCGAAGCTCCCCACGCGCAGCCGCCGTGGGGCGGACGGGCCCGAGGTCGGCTCCTTTCCAGCCGGGATAGGCTGGCGCGGGGGGGACGTCACACAGGGACGTTCCTGCGCGCTGGAGCCCAACTGCGTGGGATGAACGACGTTGTAAAAGTGAAATTGGAAGTTTTGGATTCACAAAAAACCTTAAGAAATAAGGTCCTTGAGCTTTCTTTGCATTTGAAAAACAAAGCAAGGATCTAAAAAATCCCCTTTACCACAACTCAGGCAGCATTTATGTGTTTGGAAGACAGGAAAAAGGTGAGCATGAGGTTGGGTCTTTCTCCAGTTTCGATTAGGCTGCTTGACTTACTTTTTTATAGTTTGCCGAATGATGGCAAAGGTTTGAAAACAATATTTGCCTTGTAGCCAACACTGGCCCATTTGCAGTGAGGGTATTGAAAAGCCATACGTGGACCCCTCTGAAGGCATTTATAATCTGTAAATACAAACAATACCCTTGATACTGTAGTGAAGCTTTAAAACATTAAATAAATAGGTGTTGAGTTGTAAGAGATTTAGAGACTAAAGACATTGCAGGAATTTTAAAAATAGATGAATGGGTAGATGGCAAGGCTTCAGGGGAGAAGCACATGGCCAGGACAGATTACTGAAGTGGTAAGGAACATTTTCTATTTGCAGGGAAATGCGCCTGATCTGACTAAAGCAGGGGTGTACTGGGTGGATAATCTGGTTGTAGACTATGGAAGGCCTAGAAGGTCAAGCAGAGGAATTTGGACTTGGTGTGATTGGACATCCTCTTTACTCTCAGCTCCTAACAGGCCTGAGGCTGTCACAAGGAAATGGACCAGGGTGAGATGACAGAGGAGATGGAGAGAAAGCATAGGTTATTGAAAGGTGGTTTTTGGAGACAGAGTCTTGCTCTGTTGTCGGGGTTAGAGTGCAGTGGTGTCATCATAGCTCACTGCAACCTCAAACTCCTGAGCTCAAGGGATCCTCCTGCATCAGTAGCTAGGACTACAAGTGTGCCATTACACCTGGTCAATTTTTCTTATTTTTTTGTAGAGGCAAGGTCTCACTGTGTTGCCTAGGCTGGTCTCCAACTCTAGGCCTCCCAAATGCCGGGATTACAAGCATGAGCCACTATGACCAGCCTGAAAGACATTTTTAATGGGAAAATGGACAGAACTTGGTAACTGAATAGCTGTGGATGAGGTAAAGGGATGCCAAGACACCTGCAAATTTTCAAACCCAGGTACCTGAGAGAGTAGTTGTGCCACAGGGAAGTGAGTAGGGAAAACTGATTTACAATGTTGTATTTGACTTGATAATGAGGTGTTTGAGTAAAAGGTATCAAGTTAATAGAAATAACAGCATTTTGTGGAACCTAATAGGTTTCTGATAGTATTTTGTAAATATCCTTTGATTAAGTAGTTGAGATAATCCCTTCACCTTCTAGGTCCCAATCCTTTTAGGGAATTATTGGATAGTAGCCACAAATATTGACTTGTTTTTGTCCAAACCATTATTTATAACCATACCAAATTATCATGGTAGACTAACATTTTTAATTATTCCAATAACTTTAAAAATGACGTTTTATTAATGCAATTTAGGGCAGTGAACTTTGTTGCTTTCTTAATGAGAAGAGGGATGGGAAAAAACCTTTTTGTTTGCACATACTAATAGACATTAAAATTATGTTTTTTTAAGAGGACTTTCATCATTGAACAGTTAGGAACAAGGACTATCAAAAACTTTGGCCATCACTTTCAGTTCCTGTACATTTTAAAGTGGATACTTCTCGTGAAAAATTAGAAAGCATGTCAGAATCGGATGCCTTGAATGTCAGCAGTCTTTTTCCAGGTTTAACTCGCTCAGAATCTCCCATCAGTATGGAAACCAGCAGTATCATCTCTGACTTGCCTCAGGTGTGCATTGTTTACAAGTTCTGGGCGGTTCAGATGTATTCGATGTTCACATTGTCTTCCCTTCGAAAGTTTCTTCAAAAAATAAAAGGAAAAAAAAAAAAGACTCTCTAGTGGTCACACAAAGAAGGGCCTGGTCTTCCCAGTTCTGTTAGTGAACAAAGAAGAGCACAATGTTCTAGAGTGTTAAAACTGATCATCTCTAGCTTCCTTATGAAGTCCCATGAGTGCTGCTGGGGACTTGGCCACAACAACTCAGTCACAGACGCAAGATTAGAGCCTAAAGGGGCCTTACCTCTGGTCTAGTGTATCTTCCATTATGTCAGTATGCAAATAATTCAGTTGTCATTCATAATGACATTGACAGCTCCTTGCATGTAAATGACTCCCTTCCGTCTTCCTGAAAATTCCTAGAGCCCTTTCTTACAAAATAAAAGATCATAATGTCCCAAGATGATCATGAATGTTCTAAATGTTTGATAGTTATTAGCAAGACTGTAGGGAAATAACAAGAATGTATTCAGTTGTGTCATATGAAATTGCCTTTTTGCAGTTCAAAAAAGGATGAATATGGACAATTTCATGTGATTCAGCCTATAAACTGTCAAAAACCTTCTAAAGGGCTATTTAGTGATAGGAAGTCAAGAGTTAAACTGCATTTTTAAAATTTTTTCTCTAGGAAGTATTCAAATAAGATATTTAATAAGTAAACATTGAAAATAACCTAAATATTCACCAGTAAGGGGATAATTAAGTTACTGTACAGATATATAGTGGACATGTAACCTTAAATATGATAATAGAAATTTGTTAACATAGATAACTGGTCACATTGTTTCTTAAGGAGTAGTGAGCTTTTGAATGTTTTTTACTTTATCTCTCTTTTAAAACAATGTTCAGGATTCTTTTTTAGAGTTATAATAAAAAATTTTTCATTTTGAAAAAAATTGGGTAATAGTATTACAGTGTTCATCAGGTTCCAAGATATTATATACTAAAATTTGAAAAAAATGGATATCTTATGTAAGGAAGTCCTCTCTCTTGGATTTCATTGAGCATTAAAAGCTTATAAAGAATACTTTATAACAAATTTATACACCAAAGGAACAAAAAGCATATTTTAATTAAAACAGTAATATCCGGGAAAACTAGAGTTAGACATTATCTCTGAAATTAAGTAGCAGAGTCCCAAGAAGTTGTGTAAAACATGGCAGAGTGTGGTGGCTCACGCCTGTAATTGTAGCACTCTGGGAGGCCGAGGCTGGCCGATTGCTCGAGGTCAGGAGTTCGAAACCAGCCTGAGCAAAAGCGAGACCCTATCTCTACTATAAATAGAAAGAAATTAATTGGCCAACTAATATATATAGAAAAAAATTAGCTGGGCATGGTGGCGCATGCCTGTAGTCCCAGCTACTTGGGAGGCTGAGGCAGCAGGATTGCTTGAGCCCAGGAGTGTGAGGTTACTGTGAGCTAGGCTGATGCCATGGCACTCACTCTAGCCTGGGCAACAAAGCGAGACTCTGTCTCAGAAAAAAAAAAAGAAGTTGTGTAAAATATAACAGCAATGCATGTGAGCAGTGCTATTTTATTTTTCAAGTATATTATTCTTGATACCTTTAAAATCTAATTATGAGGAATGGTCTGAATTAGTGACAAGTTTGAAAAACACATTGTTATAAGATATAACTCTGGTTTTATTGTTCTTCAAGTACATTCAATATGTGGAATATATTAGAAGGGCATTATTGAATAGAGGCTTGTAGCCAGCTGATTTTAATAAGAGAAGAATTTTTTTAGAGTATTATTTAGATCTGCATACTTGATATACTATTAATAATTAAACCAATGTTTAACATTTAAAATATTTTATTATCTAATTTATACTAGTAACTAACTTAACAAACCCTTTCATCTTAGATAACATTAAAGTAACTTTGAGAATAAGCCCCACATGAATTTTTATAAATTTCTACTTAGTGGAATGATATATCACCTTGTTACTAGAATCCTATTTTATATATTTTCAATGTTCAAAGACTAGAATAACCACTATCTTAATCCTGTTTAGACCAGATTTAATGAACATTAAAGAATTATCAACAAGCCTTTCAGCCAGAGCCACCATCTTCCAGTAATTTGCCAAAATGACAAACACAAAGGGAAAGAGGAGAGGCACCCGATACATGTTCTCTAGGCCTTTTAGAAAACATGGCATTGTTCCTTTGGCCACATACATGCGAATCTATAAGAAAGGTGATGTTGTAGACATCAAGGGAATGGATGCTGTTCAAAAAGGCATGCCCCACAAATATTACCACAGCAAAACTGGAAGAGTTTACAGTGTTACCCAGCATATGTTGGAATTGTTATAAGCAAACAAGTTAAGGGCAAGATTCTTGCCAAGAGGATTAATGTGCATATTGAGCACATTAAGCACTCTAAGAGCCAAGTTAGCTTCCTGAAATGTGTGAAGGAAAATGATCAGAAAAAGAAGGAAGCCAAAGAGAAAGGTACCTGGGTTCAACTGAAGTGACAGCCTGCTCTCCCCAGAGAAGCACAGTTTGTGAGAACCAATGGAAAGGAGCCCGAGCTGCTGGAACCTTTTCCTTATGAATTCATGGTATAATAGGTGTCTCACACTTTATGAGAAGCGACAGAAAGGAGCCTGAGGTGCTGGGACCTGTTCCCTATGAATTCATGGGGTAATAGGCACAGAACACTTTGTGAGAAGCAAAGAAAGGATCTTGAGCTGCTGGAACCTATTTCCTGTGAATTCATGGCACAGGGGACAAACCTAATAAAAGCCTCTGGACTCTAAAAAAAATAAAAATAAATAATTATCAGCAAGCTATATATGCTATCATATCACCCTATGTATAATGACATGATTTGACTTACCAAAATATTAAAATAGCATTGCATTTGTTTCATCATTTAAAATTGTGACTCTAATAGCATAGTTTTACTAAAAGAGAGCCAAATACAGAGGGGGAAGGATACTAGAAAGCACATTCTACTTGTACAACAAAATATCCTAGCAGTGAAATTATATAACAGTGTACATGTGCCTTTAGAAGAAGCTTGTGATGTTTGCTTGAAGTATTAATATTAATGCCTTTTTATTAATACAGAATGAAATAAAGAATTTACAAAGGGAAGATGAATGTAAGTCCACACTCTCTGAAGATGTTTATAATTTGTTGGGTGGTAAGTATCTCTTTGTTGGCATATCCAAAACAGAGAAACAGAATTTTTTGTGTGTCTTGTGATAACAATAATAATAATAGCCAGGTACTGTGCTAAGTACTTCATATACATTATCACATTTAATCCACAAACAGTCCTATTGAAATAGGGATTTTTTAAAAAAATTGAAATAAGGACTGTTTTTATCTCCATTTTACAGATGAGGAAAGTAAGACTCAGATAATAACTTGCCCAGGATCATGTAGCTTTAAGTGAATGAGCTCTGATTCAAGTCTCAGTCTCAGACACCAGAATTTTATACTATACAAATATCTTGAAAGATGTGTGTTGATATAACCAAAACTCTTATTCTAGTCTTAAATTGATAGATGAAAGCTATTTAGGAGTTAATCATATAATGAGGCACATTGATCATATTCATTAAAGCAAATACAAATAAGGTATAGAAATGTCTCTATTTTTAATAACTGTAAATAATACTAAAATTAAAAGATTCAACAAGCCTTATTGAAATTATGGAATTCAGCACATGTAGGTACTAAAAAAAGTAAGTAGTATCACGTATTAGGAAGAGAAGAACTGATCATTATTTACAAATATTTGATTTTATACATAGAAAATTCATAAGTATCTACAGATGAGCTATTAAACCTAATAAGAAAGTTTAGAAAAATGCTGGATATAAGATCAATATAAAAAAAAATCAATAGCCGTCTGGGCATGGTGGATCATGCCTGTAATCCCAGCACTTTGGGGGGCCAAGCCAGGAGAATCGGTTGAGGCCAAGAGTTTGAGACCAGGCTGAGCAACATACTGAGACCCATATCTACAAAAATTAGAAAAATTGGCCAGACATGGTGGTGCATGCCTGTAGTAGCAGCTACTTGGGAGGCTGAAGCAGGATAATGGCTTGAGCCCAGGAATTTGAGGTTACAGTGAGCTATGATGACGCCACTACACTCTACCTAGGCAACAGAGTGAGACCCTATCTTAAAAAAAAAAACAACCGAAAAACAAAAAACCAAAAAATTACTATTACCAGTAGCAGCACAAACTACGGTACCTAAGAATAAATCTAACAAAAGGTATGTAAGGTTTCTATGGGAAAAAAAATTATAAAACTTTATCAGAGGACATAAAAAAATGTTTCATGTTGAATATTATAAAGAGGTCAATTTTCCTGAAATCATGAATTAATGCAATTTCAAGTATCCTAAGTGATCCTAACCTTCTCATTTAGAAGTGAAAAAAGTTAAATACCCAATACAATTTTGAAAAAGATGTGGAGACTTGTCCCGCTAGATAATAAAATTTGTTATGAGTTATAGTAATTATAACAATGTGTTAATAAGCAGAAGCATACCAAACCAGTGGAATAAATAGACTACAGAGACCCAAAATAGACCCATTTATATATGTGGATACTTGGTATTTGATGGCAATGCCATTTTAAAACAGTTGGGGAATTCATTCAATTGTGCTGGAACTGTTGGCTCTCTAAATGTAGGAAATGTTTAGAACCTTACTTCACACACAATTCAAATGTAAATTCCACAGGGTTAAAAGCCTACATGTGAACTACAAAAAGACTTTCTAAAAGAAAGTTTAGAAAATGCCTTTATGATGACAGGAAAGGGAAAGATTTCTTACAACTGAGAATCACAAACCACAATTGATATATTTGACTACACTAAGATAAAAAAACTTCTATATGACCAAAGTATAATCAACAAAGTAAAAAAGCTGCAGAAGATACATGCAGAAATATAGTTGACAAAGAATTGGAATCTATAATAAAGAACTCCAAGTCAGTAAGAAAAAGATATATAATAAAAACAGGTATAGTATATATTAATTTGCTAGGGCTGCCATAACAAAACACCACAGGCTGGGTGGCTAAACTACAGAAATTAATTTTCTCACAGTTCCAGAGTTTGCAAGTCTGAGGTTAAGGTTGCCTTCACCTGAAGCCTCTCTCCTTGGCTTGCAGGTGGCCATTTTTTTTTACCGTGTACCCACATGACCTTTTCTCTGTGTACACACCTCCCTGGTGTCTTTCTTTTCTTACAAGGACCCCAGTCATCCTGGATTAGAGCCTACCTTATAAGGCTCATCTAACTTAATGACCTCTTTAAAATCCCTATCTTCAATTAGTCATATTCTAACATACTGGGGGTTAAAGCTTCAACATATGATTTTGGAGGCACACAATTCAGCCCATAACAGTTTATAACAAGCAGATCACAGAAAAGGAAACCTGTAAGACCATTAAATATGCGAAAGCTTGTATATTTAAAAGATCATGATAAAATACCATTTCATACATATCAGTTTGACATGTTTTGGAGGGATGTAGAGCAAAGGAGCCCTTAGGGTACTGGTAGAATATAAATTGGTACAACCAGTTTGGGAAGTAATTTTGCACTATCTAGTAAAGTTGAACATACGTATTTTCTATAACCCAGAAATTCTACTTCTAGGTGTATACGCAGAGCCTAGACAAAAATTCTTACATTGGTGTACAAGGAAACCTGTATGGATGTTCATTACAGTGCTTTTTTTTTTTTTTTTTTTTTTTTTTTAAAGATTCAGAGTCTTGTGTTGCCCAGGCTAGAGTGCAGTGGCATCATCATAGCTCACTGCAACCTCAAACTCCTGGGCTCAAGTGATCCTTTTACCTCAACCTCTTGAGTAGCTTGGAGTACAGGTGTACCACCATGCGCAGCTAATTTTTTATTTTTTCTAGAAGCAGGATCTTGCTATTGCCCAGGCTGTCTCAAACTGAACTCTTGTCCTCAAGCAATCCTCCTACCTCAGCCCCCCAAAATGCTAGGATTATAGGCTTGAACCACCTCACCAAGCCTGCAGTGCTGTTTTGTTTTTGTTTTTTTTTTGAGACAGAGTCTCACTTTGTTGTCCTGGCTAGAGTGCCGTGGCATCAGCCTAGCTCACAGCAACCTCAAACTCCTGGGCTCAAGCAATCCTTCTGCCTCAGCCTCCTGAGTGGCTGGGACTATAGGCATGTGCCACCATGAGCGACTAATTTTTTCTATATATTTTTAGTTGGCAAATTAATTTCTTTCTATTTTTAGTAGAGACGGCGTCTCACTCTTGCTCAGGCTGGTTTCGAACTCCTGACCTTGAGTGATCTGCCTGCCTTGGCCTCCCAGAGTGCTAGTATTACAGGCGTGAGCCACTGCACCTGCCCTGTAGTGCTGTTTTTAAGAGCAAAATGAGAAACAAATAGCCAACAACAAAAAGGCAATACAATATAATCCTTCAGTAGAATGAACTAGATCTATATGTATTTACATGGCTAAGTCTGAGAAGCAAAATTTTGAGTGAAATAAAGACTATTTTATATGGATATATATAATGTGATGCTATTTATATAAAATATAAAAACACATAAAATAATATATATTTACCATTTGTCTGGAGTGTTGCAGGTTATTTTGGAATTTGAGGAAAACAGACATCTGTCCGACCCTATAAACTGTTAGCTCAAGGTAGTTCACTATTTCAATGCAAACCTGTACTATGGTTTTCCTATGATGTCTTATTTAAAAAGCTGAAGTTTTTGAAGGTTGCTATGATAAAAAGCAAGTCCTGTGTGAAAATCAATGTGAAATAGGAAGTGAGGGTGGTGGTGTCCAATTCCAAGGTTTGAGATGCTGTGCAGTGCCCAACAGTATACATTCAAGTAGTAAGTGTGGTTGCTTTAGAACAAAATAAAATATTATATTTTTCTTTGTGTATATTTTCAAACAGCTAATAATTTAGGACAAATACTTATTGAGCTTAATTACTTGCTAAATGGAACTGTTAGGTATTTCTTTTGGTTTAGAAGTGCTATGAAAGAGTACTGAGACATTAAGGGTGTCACAAAATGAGGAAGTCTGGGAACTTGATTATTTAGGAACTTGATTATATTATGTAGGGTACATAAATGAGTAGTAAAAGTAGAAAAATATGGATGGGGAGAATGAAGACATACAGGCTTCAGTACAATGGTTATCTCTGTGGAGGAGGAAAGGAGAAAAATTAGAAGGGGGTTATTAATTAACTTTATAACCTTTTCATTTTATCTTATTTGCTTCTGATTTTTTAAAACATGCATTAAATCTGCATAGCTTGTCATATTGAGAAACAGTATAGCATAGCATTTATAAATGGTATTGTAGAACCTCAGCTGCACTGCTTAGCCCTTTGTGACATTATGTAAGTGACTTAATATCTCTTATGTTTCAGTTTCCTGTAAAATAGGGATAATAACAGTACTAATCCCATTGGATTGTTGTGAGATTAAACAAGTTTCTATGTGTTTGCAATTATACTATTCCCTGTGCTTTTTTTTTTTTTTTTTTGAGACAGAGTCTCACTTTGTGGCCCAGGCTAGAGTGAGTGCCGTGGCATTAGCCTAGCTCACAGCAACCTCAAACTCCTGGGCTCAAGCAATCCTTCTGCCTCAGCCTCCCGAGTAGCTGGGACTACAGGCATGTGCCACCGTGCCTGGCTAATTTTTTTGTATATATATTAGTTGGCCAATTAATGTCTTTCTATTTATAGTAGAAACAGGGTCTCGCTCTTGCTCAGGTTGGTTTCAAACTCCTGAACTCAAACGATCTGCCCGCCTCGACCTCCCAGAGAGCTAGGATTACAGGTGTGAGCCACCTCACCTGGCCTATAATGGTCTTTAACCAGAATGATACATAACAAGCTTCTTTGTAGCAGTCATTTGGGTATGACTTTCCTTCATGTAAGATATTTTGTTTTGCTTGCCAGCACAAAGCCATGCCACAATCCACACAAGTAAGGTTGAAATAATATATAATTCTTAAATGGCTATACCAGTTTATTTCATAAATATAACTGTTACCATATAAATTTGTGATCAACTCATTTTTATTTCCTTCTCTTTGTAATAAGATAATGACACTGAAAATTACTCACAGAAGATACTAATTCAGCCAGTTGACACTACTAGCATTTCTTCCTTGAGACGATTTGAACCTATTTGCAAGTTTCACTGGACAGAAGCATTTAATGATGAAATGACAGAGAAGCCAGAATTGCAAAGCCATGTGTATTATTATGCAAAAGACAACAATGTGAAGCAAGATTCATTTAATGAAGAAAAGCCAATGGAAGCTAGCATTTCTACAAATAAAGACAGACTTGCTAATGAGTGTATTGGACAGCTTCCTGAAAGCTCACCTCTAATCCACTGTGGTGAAGAGACACTGGAATTCACAGAAAACTCACTGGCTTACGGTACTGCCCGGGAATCTGCCCTCATCCCTAGTCAACCTCAACGCTTCTTCTATAAGGAAAGTGTACACAATAACGCTGAAAAACCATTTTATAAAGAGAATAGCTTTAACCTTCTTGTTCTGAGAGTTAATTATGAAATAGAGGAGGTAAGATTGTTGATGGTCAGTAAAGCCTGTGGAGTATTAAAGAGCTTAAATACAAGTATATAATCTGAGCCTTTTCACTGAATAGTGTTAAATCATCTAATCAGCATGAGGGACTTTTCTTCTCTATTCTGAAATCATAACCAATTCAGGAACAAAGTTTTCTAATAAATTCAGGTCCCTACTTGGGATTAGCTCTACCAAATGGTAATTTCTTCAAGGATTAGGACTCTGTTTTAACTCATCCTTTTATGCACCATATCATCTATATGGCTCCTTGAATATATAATAATATTTTATTTGTTGAATCAAATTGGCTGGAATTAGTAGAGTTCACAGTAAAGGAAAGGTTTTATAGCAATGTTAATTAAATTATTTGGCAAGAAAAGCGTAAGATTTTTCTATCATGTTGGACTTCTATTAACAAGCAAAAAGTATTAATTTTTCTACCAAAATGAAAACATTAATTTATCTTTTGTTTTATTGATTCTGAGCACACATGTAATATCCTAAAGGGCACTGAAGATGCCAACAGTATAAATTCCATGTACTCTTTGAACAAAAAATAAAGATACTAGGAATTGGTGTGAGCAAATAGATAGAATTCAAGAATAGTATAAATAATACATTTTCAATGTGAATTTAATGAGAAAAGTTATGGCTGTTATGTTTCATTAAGAAGTATGGGTAGTTTTTTTTTTCATTTATTTGAAAGTAGATGGCAGCATTTAAAAGAGGACTTTATTTCCCCATTTGATTTCTAGAAAACAGCATTTTTAAAATCTGCTTCAGTAGAGCTTCTCAAGGTTGTTCTTTCTCTTTCCATTGCATTTAGTTATATTTTAGTCAGTCAGTAGGTACTTTCATGCATCTATTATATGCCAGGTCTGTACTATGTGTTGGTTCTATAAAGGTTAAAAAACAAAAAAAGATGTGGTTCTTGTCCTCATGAAAATAACATTGTGGCTAGCACAGTGGCTGATGCCTGTAATGCTAGCACTTTGAGAGGCCAAGATGGGAGGATCACTTGAGGCCAGGAGTTCAAGACCAGTCTGAAGAAGAGTGAGACCCCATCTCTACAAAAAGTAGAAAAATTAGCCAGGCACAGTGGCATGCACCTATGATCCCAGCTACTTGGGAGGCTGAGGCAGGAAGATTGCTTGAGCCTAGGAGTTTGAGGTTGCTGTGAGCTCTGATGATACTGCACTCTAACCTGGGCAAGAAAGCAAGACCTTGTCAAAAAAAAAGAAAAAGAAAAAGAAAAAAAAAGGAAAACGAAATAACATCCTCCTATAGGAGATAGATATTAATGAAATAACTACACAAATAGATGTAAACTTGAAACTGTTATAAGTTTCATGAATAAAATTTAAATATAAAATGTATGTAGAGTGTTTATAATGCTATGTAAAGTTACATTTAAACTTACAACTATGATAAATACTGTAAATATAAGTAGGATAGGTATCTGTGATAAGGACACTATTCTAGACAGGGAGCGTAGGAAGGGCATCCCTGAAGAAGTGGTCATTGAGCTGAGTTCTAAAGGATGTGTAGGAGTTAATTAGGCAACTGTGGGTAGGAGAGCATTCCATTCAGAAGGAACAACATCTGCAACCCCTGTGGCTGCGGGAAACATGCTACCTACTAGGACCTGAAGGAAGCCCAGTATCCAGGAAGATCAGGGTTAGGAGAAGCAAGAGGGGTGTAGTGGATGAGAATGGAGAGGTGGCACAGGCCAGATATTATCTTAGTCCATTTTATGTTACTATAACAGAGTATCACAGACTGAGTAATTTATCATGAACAAAAATTTATTTGGTTCACAGTTCTGGAGGCAAAGAAGTCCAAGAGCTGGTATCTGGTGAGGGCCTTCATGCTGCGTCCTCCCATGGTGGAATGTGGAAGGGCAAGAGAGGGTGACAGTGAGGGAGCAAGAGGGTGCTGAAATCACATTGATAACAAATCTACTCTTGCAATAACTAATCTACTTCTGCAATAACAATGTTTAGCCATTTTTATTCACCTCTTATTAGGTCCCACCTTCTAACACTTTTGCATTCAGGATTAAGTTTCCAGCACATGAACTTTTAGGGGCACATTCAAACCATAGCAGATATCAGGGCCTTGTAGGCCTCAATAAGGATAGTTGTCTTTATCCCAGAGTAATGAAAAACCACTAAAAATACAGGATTCTACAGATGGATGGGCTAAAAAAAAAACAAAAAGTACACAGGGGTCCATTAGCTATAAATTCTAGGGAATTATACAGTCTACTCCTATAGATACCTTTTACTGGGTTTTTAATGTCATATTCATTTCAGCATTTCTTAACCACAATTTACTGTCCTTTACTAAATCCTCCAAAACCTGTCTTAGGGGCATAAATTCAGTTATGAGGCATGATCTTCTGCTTTCTAATGTTCATAGAAGTCACAGCATAATGAGGTGATGATCTACATAAGGAATAAAACAAGAATTCAAAAGATCTTGTAGTCTGTAAGGTAGTTGATACATTTTTTTTTTTTTTTTTTTTTGAGACAGAGTCTCACTTTGTTGCCCAGGCTAGAGTGAGTACTGTGGCATCAGCCTAGCTCACAGCAACCTCAAACTCCTGGGCTCAAGCAATCCTTTTGCCTCAGTCTCCCGAGTAGCTGGGACTACAGGCATGCGCCACCATGCCCAGCTAATTTTTTTGTATATATATTAGTTCGCCAATTAATCTATTTTTAGTAGAGACAGGGTCTCACTCTTGCTCAGGGTGGTTTTGAACTCCTGACCTCGAGCAATCCGCCCGCCTCAGCCTCCCAGAGTGCTAGGATTACAGGTGTGAGCCACCACGCCCGGCCTGTTGATATATTTCTTATTTGTTTTAATTCATTTGAAGTCAAAGAAAGCATTTTATATGTGTTTTAAAAAGTTTGCATTACAGAGAAATGTTGAAAGTAATTTCAACATTCAACATTCAAATGTTGAAAGTTTAGTTTTTCTTTTGTCAAAGTAAATGGAATACATATCTGTCTCTCATATACCTACTGCTTGTGCTCCTCTGTGCTATACATACATTTTAGTGATTGATACTTAGATATTAATTTTTATTAAGTGTGTTTTTATTGGAAGTAGGTATTATTGTTATTTTATAGCTGAGGAAACCATAAAAGGGATCTAGAATTCAAGATCAATTCTATCTGACTTCAAAGCTCATGATCTTTCTACTCTTTTACACTTACTTTGTCTACTACAATTTACAGACTGCAGTTTCTTCAAAAGAAATACAGAATTCTGGGGAGATTCCTGAGATGTTGGTCAGTTACCAAAATGAAGTTACAGCAGAGGGTGTGGAGAGGCTGGGGATTGTCTCAAGTTGGTCTCCAGCAGGCATCTCCTGGAGTACTGGAACATCTTGGGAGAACTGCAAGACGCCGGACATGGAGCAAAGCTGTGGAAGCTTACAACCTCTGGAAGAGGACATGGCTTTAAATGAAGTCTTAAGGAAATTAAAACAGACTAACAGAAAGCAGCAAGCACGAATCCAAGATCTCCAGTGCAGTAACCTGAATTTAGAGAAGAAGGTTAAAGAACTACAAATGAAGATTACCAAACAGCAAGTATTTGTCGACATCATAAATAAGCTAAAGGAGAATGTTGAAGAATTAATTGAAGACAAATACAAAGTAATCCTTGAGAAGAATGATATTAAAAAGGCATTGCAGAATTTGCAAGAGATTTTAGCTAACACCCAAAAACATCTTCAGGAATCTAGAAATGAGAAGCAAGCCTTACAAGTTGAATTTAAGAAGATAAAGGCCAATTATATGCGTTTACAGGAAAGGTACATGACTGAAATGCAACAAAAAAATAAATCTGTGAGTGAGTGCTTAGAGATGGACAAAACCTTAAGCGAGAAAGAAGAAGAGTTAGAGAGGCTGCACCAACTCAAAAGAAAATTGGAAAGGGCTACAGCTTCTGCTTTGGACTTGTTGAAAAGGGAAAGAGAGACCCGAGAACAAGAGTTCATGTCTTTACAGGAGGAATTCCAGAAACGTGAAAAGGAAAACCTGGAAGAAAAAAAGAAACTGAAATCTAGACATGAGAAATTGCTTGCTGAAGTTAAAAATTTGGAATTTGTATCTGAAAATGAAAGAGCTAAGAATGAAAAACTGCAGCAGCACATCAACGAGGTAGAAAATGAAAATGTAAAACTTAAGCAGCAGGTTACAAGAAGTGAGGAACAAAGTTGTGTCCCTAAATTTGAGGGAGCTCAGTTAAAGGAGCAATTAGAGGAAGTAATGGAGTCACATATTGCCAAGGTATTGATGTAGATTACAAATCTATAATGCAGAATTTCAAGAGTTTCTAGTAGTCTAGTGATGCATATTTAGACATGGCACTTACACATATTTGTTTGCAGAAAGAATTATTAATGAAAAACATACAGATATACGAAGGAAAATACACCACAGGTTTGGAGAAGTTTGGTTCATGAGTACTCAACTAAAAGTCATTTGTGGCTTCTTGTGATTATTTTGGTAGAGGTGACAACCTTGGAATTATGTGGGTACCCATCACCAATCATCTGAAGCACCTCCCAGAGGTCACTTTTGAGAAAAGATTTTCTAAATGTGGTTCTCAATCCTATTCAGTAATAAAACTAAATCAGGGCTGGGGAACCTTTTCATGTTGAAAGGCTTCATTAATTTTAGCTGTAATCAAATAAGTCTACATTCAAGAAACTTCAATTAGATATACTTAAAAATGTGCATTATTTTGTAAAAATCTAACTACTATGCACTTAAAAATTTCAAAAAATGAAAACTATGTGTTAATTTTAAAGTTAATTAACCTTTTAATGACTTTGTATCGTCTGCTTTTTCTTGGAAAGCATTTGAGTATTTGGTTGCAGCATCGAGGTATGGAGTTTCAGTTGACCCTCTAGATGGGTATCAGTCACTTGTGATCTTAAGGGTGTCTTGATTTGGGTTAGGTAGGAGAATATAGATTTGTATCAGTAAGTGGTTGAAAAGCAAGGAAGCATTTTGGGGGCATGTTGCCAAAGGTGTGAATATTCTGCATTTTTCCATATTTCAATTGGATCTTTGTTGGTATCAAACAAAGACTTTAAAATGTCATCTACTGAGGCTCAATTCCATCTGTAGTTCTTTAGGTACCTTGGTGATATCAACTAGGTGAGGCTGAAATGCTAATTTGAGTCATGACTCTCAAAGTCGGTGAACCTTTCCTTGTGTTCTCTAATTAATAATAGGTCTATAACAACTGCATATTCTTTAAATGATTCACATATATCATCCTGCTCATCAGCGACTTTTGCTAACTGGGGAAAATGTTCATCCAAAATTTCCTTTTGAAGAAGTGTTTTGAAAAAAGATAGCTTTTATGGAAATGCTTGGATTTCTTGTCACATATCATATATAGACTTAGTTTTACCTCGAAAAGAAATATTCAAGTCATTTTAATTTAACTTGATATCACACAGAAATTCTGCATTCCTATAGAAATCTTCTTTCAATAATTCACATTGCTGATTCTATTCTTCATAAAATTTAACTATCTGTTCTTGTAGAGAGAAAATTTTGGCAACCACCTGTCCCTGCAATAGCCAATGTACTTTAGAATGCTATGGCAAATCCACACTGAATATCTCATCATTCAGCTTTAGCATATTATGAAACTGATGTTGCATTTGTATAAATATAGTTAATACTTATAACTTGTTACAAAGTGTCACTTAAAATAGCTTTAGCACGAGATTTTGCTGGTGCAAGATACAATGAAAAGAAATGAAAGCATCTGGATCTGTTAATGCTTTTCTTATCTGTGCAATAAACTCTTCATGTTTTTGTGTCATGGAAGGTGCACTGTCTATACATACAGTAAATTTACCAAATTCAGTCCAACTTTAGGACATTTATCTTGAAAGTTGTTGAAGATATCTATTCCTCATGTTCTGTTTGCAAGAGTGCCCAAAGCAAGTAACTCTTCGTAGCAAAGACAATCTTTTGTTATGACACGAATGAAGTATTAAACCTTTGCTGAGTCAATAGTATCAGTTGATTTGTCCAAAGTGATTGAATAATACATATTTTCCTTTTAAAGTATTGCATGAAGTTGTTCTATTAAGTTGAAGGCTAATTCATGCTGCCAATCAGTTATGGTTCTCCTTGAAAGAGGCGGTTGTTTGTAGTTTGAAATGTTGTCAGGGTCTAAGCATCCCACAACTTTGACAATGCATTTTTTCACAATTTCTACATCACTGAATGGCTTCCCTTTTTTCCCAAATATATAAACTACTCTATAAGTTGCTTCAATGGCATTATTTCCAGGTCTTATTGCTGCTTGAAAGAATTGTCTTTGCTTTTAATTTTGATCTTTAATTTCTTCAATACAACCTTTCATGCCTCTCCCTCTAATTTAAAATATTTGTGGTCTTTATGAGTGTTATAATGCTGATGAGCATTGAATTTCTTTTTTTTTTTTTTAAAGAGATTTATTCTGAGCCAAATTTGAGGACCATGACCCGGAGCCACTCCCAAGAGGCCTTGGGCAAGTGGACTCGCTGTGGCTGGGTTACAGTTTGGTTTTTGAATTTCTTTAATGTTGATATTGCAGTACCACAAAGCAAGCAAATCATCTTGTCTTTAGCAGAAACAAGATAATATTGCAGTTTCCAATTCTCATTAAAACATCTGTTTTCTTCCTTTGGCTTCTCTTGGTCTTCTTTGATGATGAGCGGTTAAGCAGACAGAATTTTAAAATACTGGAGAGTTATGCAACTATTCACAAATTACACTTCAGACAGAAACACAATGCACTATTGTCAAAAGCTGATAATAGACTGGCATCCTCAACCCCTATAAATTCTCGCCAACCAGCCTTGTGTGGTAGTGGCTCCAGTCAGGCAGGGGCCAATCTGGGAGGATTATTTTGTTGAAACTTATTTTATTCTATAGTATTTTAAATATATTCATTTAAAAAATAAAGTAAAAATATACAAGAACAAAAATATATTAATAAAAATAAAAGGATTTGTTTTATAAAATTTAGATTCAGTCAAAAGGCCACACTTAAGGACCTAGAAGGCCACAGGTTCCCCACCCCTGAACTAAATAATATAATTGCATATTTAGTTTACAAGGCAAAACAAACCTATGTTATATCATATATTAATTTGTATAAAATTATAAAGCATTTAACAACAGCATCAGAACCTCATATTGATATGTTTGGAGAGGATGAAATGTTTTATTATCTGCAGTTCAAAAAGCTTTTTTCATAGCCAGGAACCTGGAAAAACAATTCTGGAAATGATAATGTTCACAAGCTGGAGCACATCTATTATATTTCAGTTTTGTAGGCCTATGTTGAAGCATGCATAGTAAAAATCCTATTAACTTTGCTTAGAAAAAAGGCTAATCTGAACTAGAAAAATGTATAAATTTATTTTTTGTATTTTTTATAATAACTTGAACTGATGTTACCTTGAAGATGTCCTTAGTGGACCGTCTTATGAATTTGTAATCATCATAAGTATTGTTTGTAGTAAAAAATTCTATTATTTTTAAAGATTCTTAGGGCAATATTATCGTCCTAAACTTAAATTCAGAGATCTCTGTAAACTCTAAGAAATAAGAATTATCTAAGCCAGTGATTCTCAAACATGAACATGCATCAAAATCCCCTGAAAGGCTTATTAAAACACAGATTGCTGGGCCCTATCCCAGAGTTTTTGACTCAGTAGGCCTGGGGTGGGGGCCTGAGAATGTACATTTCTAGCAAGATCCCAGGTGGTGTTGCTGCTACTGCTTCAGGGACCACACTTTGAGAACCACTGACCTAAGCAAAGATGACCTTAAGTTTAGCTCCTAACCAAATTGTGACAAATTTTAAATTGGTAAGCTCTAAATTGAAGTAGCTTAACTGTGCAGAAGATTAGTATGGTATACAATTTTCTTCCTGAGCTTTCTTTTTAAAAAAGTAAAGTTTTTTGTTTTGACTAATTTCTCTAACACCTGCAAATTCATACTTACTGTGCTTATAGATTTACATTTTACTAACTGTTGGTCAGTTTTCTCAAAGTATGGTCTAAGAGCATCTGTGAGGTCAAAAGTATTTCATAGTAATATTATGACATTATTGACTTTTGCACTCTCATTATTTTCTTTTTTTCTTTTTTACTCTCATTCTTTCACAAGAGTACAGTGGACTTTTCCAGAAGCTATGTGATATGGTGATGTAAATTGCTCTCATGGCTGATGGAATGTGTGAAGCAAATGTGAAAATCCAGCTATCTTCAATTAAGCCAGCATTAAAAATATTTGCAAAAATATTTTTGTTAATTTTTTATTTTAGAAAGTGTGGCAATTGTTTTATTTAAAAAATTGTTCTTTATATTTATACATAATGGATGTATTATTTAAATGAATTAGTAAACATATTTTAAAATATTCTCCATTTTAATTTCTAATATGATAAATATTGATATCTATAACCCATATAAACAAAAGGTTTGGGGTGTCTTTAACAATTTTTTAAGAGTATAAAGGGGTCCTGAGATGAAAAAGTTTGAGAACTAGCACCCAAGGTTTTTAAGAGTGGTATTTTATTCAGCATTTTTCTTAAAGGGTATTCTGGGTTCTTCATCTTTATTGTGACAAATCTAAATTGTGTACATGTAGGATACAAAGATGATAAATTCTAACCTGTTCCTGAATTGCCCACCTTGTGAAGAAGAGGGCCTGAATCCCCCAGATGTGAAAAGAACTTCTCAGCTGGCCTCCAAAATGTACAGTCTTCTAGCTCTGATGGTAGGACTTTTCACGTGCCAGGTAATAAAAAAAAATCAGATTTTTTAGTAGAGGATGAAAAAATATTGGGATTGGACTAAAAAAAGTGATGAAATAAAAGTGACAGAATTAAGGTTGTAGAAGAAAAAAATGGAAGACAAAATACAGACCCCTAAACCAACCAATCAGTCCTTCTTTTCTCCTACTTCTTTCTGTTTATCTTTCTTGAACATATAATTCCCACAAGTCTAAGATAAGATGCAGTAAGATAAACAATAAAGGCATCAAGTGAACTCCTTCATTTAGTACTTCTCACATTTCAAGAATGCTCTCTCAGAGAAATAGTCTTGTACTTGTGATTATTGTTTGTTCACGTTAATGAGCTCTTAGCCCAATCTAAGATAGAGCTTGGGGTGGGGGCGGAGGGAGGGCAATATGGAGCTGTGTACATTAGTAGCATGAAAAGTGATGTTAGTGTCAGTTCAAATCCTGGCTTCCTCACTTCCTGGCCGTGTGACTTGGTCAAGAAAACTAAACTTTTTCCACCTTAGTTTCCTCATCTTGAAGATGGGGAAATGATGCTGCTGTCCTGGGAGCTTATAAGCACATTTAATGAAGAGAACATATTAAAGGACATACACTTGATAGGTTCTCAAACTAGCTAGATCTCTTTCTTCCTCTTCCTCCTATTTTTGTACATTTTTTAAAATCTTAAGTGCACTTATCTGAGCCATGATTAGGGGGCATGGGTTTGCAATGTTCTGGATCCAACACAAATGCTGTTTCTGTTTTGTTTTAGCTAAAATTTGTTGAACACTAGCATTTATTGAATGCTAGAAACTGGACTAAGCATTTTATGCAGAGTTCACAAAATGGTAGCCCAAAGACTATGTCCACCTACTGTTTTGTTTTTTAATACTTGAATTTGAATGTGGCACAGATTTTTCTTTGCTACAAACTTTTCCACCCCACCTTGCCCCATCAAACATTTCCTTGTTTACCATATTTGCTTGCATTTTTCCTGTCTCCCTGGTGGCTACTGCTTTTCTACCAGACCTCTCAATGATAGATTGTATCATCAGCATTCTTAGTAGATCTCATCCCACCCCAAACAAGTATTATCTGTTTGCCTGTTCTGTATAAGTAACCCTCCCACTAGAACATAAGGCTTTAAGATCAGAGACTTGGTATGTAAGTAGGCATATTAGGTTTGCCTGATACCTAATACAGGGTTAAACTGGTAACAGACACTCAGCAAGTATTTACTGACTTCCTGACCTATCCTGGGAGGCATTTAAGTTTACTGTCCTGATGTTCATGGATTATCTCATTCAATCCTTATATCATTCTTTATATTATTAGGCTTTTTTTTTTTTAATGTGGACAAACTAACCAGGGATTAGAATAGTTGAGTTTCTTGTCCAAGGTCTCACATATGGTTAAGTCACACAACTTAGATAGAAACCCGTGCGCCTTTGACCCCTAGGTTATATTGGGACAAGTACCTTTATTCAGGGTAACTTTGAAATATCTAGAGTTTCAGTATTGTTGAGGATGTCTGATTGTTCTGGTGTTAGATATAACAATTTGTTTAAAATTTGGATTTGTAAACTGACTAAACTGAAGGGGACATGTGTGTATGAATATATAAGCATGCATATTTATTATAGATGAGTATTAACTTCCCAGCAACTATACTAGTTTGTCCCAATAACAACTTATGTACAGATGTGATTTAACGGTCTTTGATACTAACCCTTTATTAGATGTCTTCTGATGAGTGATTGAAGAATGAAGTTCAATATGATTTTACCTCCTTTGGTTTGGTCACTTGGAAGGGAGATTTGTTTCATTTATGCTTTTGCTTCTTCCTTTTAGCTTTACTAAAAACCTTTTAAATAGTTTCTCAAACCATTACCCTTAGGACATCACCAATCCTGATGCTGAACATTTAAAAGAGGGTGAGAAAGTTAGTGATATAACGCTGCAAAAATTGAAGAATTTTCATCTTAAAAAGAAAATTTTAGATAAAGAGGTACTATATTTATTTTTCACCTAAAATTATTTTTAGTGAAAAAAATAAAGGATAGTGAAATGGTAACTCTTAAAGTTTGGATATTTTTAAGAATTATTTTTGGGGACCAGATTAGTTTTACTATATCCCTCACTAAGGAAATATAATGTTCAACATTTGACTTGTTTTACAACTTAAGTCTGTATTGGAAAATCTCATTCATCTACAAAAAATTTGATATGATTATTTTTTCAATTTTGCATGTCACTACTGATTCTTAAAGAATAGTTTACTTTAACATTCTTACAAACTTCATTACTTGGGACAATGAAAACACTGAAAACAGTTTTATTTCTCAGGTGGGAGAAGGGTAAGGCAGAGATTCCTGGAGTTTCTTCTATTACTCTTTTCTTGGGTTGATGGTATAGAGATAAATAGAGTAAAATTGAAACCCGGGATCTTGGATTATAACAAATTCAGTTCTGTACCACTTCTCTGAACCGACATGTTGGAGTTGTCCTGGGGAATCTCTCTGCCTCTTAGCTAACCTGAAGAAGAAAGGAGCAAGGCATAAACACAGCCATGCAGAGAAACCACTGGCCTCCACTTCTGTAAACAGCCATCAAAAATAAGCCCAATCAAGGATGTTATACAGAAATAAAATTTCAGCTATTTATGTTCTTTGGGTTCATTTTGGTTTAGTTACTGAAATATTGGCAGATGAAATGATGATGTCTGCAGTTTGATTCAGTGAAGGGGGATTGAGGGGGGAGGGCAGTGGTTGGGGATATTATCAAAGCTGAATGATTTTTCCATGGGGTTTCATTATTATTTTTCTCTATTTATTTTAAATATTGGAAAATTTGCATAATAAAGAATAGAACATTTTGTGCAGCACACTTTACCTCACTAATAACTTGGAGAAATTTGAATATTAAATATTAAAATTATTACTATACTGAAGGAACAAATGAACAAATAAGAAATGGTTATAAATTGCATCCAGAGAAATTTGGCTATTTTTTTCCTTTAAAGAAGAATTTTAATAGCCTGACTGTAATAACTAATGTATGTTAGGATAAGTTCCTTGGAAGCATGTAAACCACTCCCAGGTTTGATGATTAGTTGAAGGACTGAGTAGTCCTCACAGCTATGATTTATGACAGCAAAAGGATACAAAGCAAAGTCAGCCAAGGGAAAGCCACCTGGGGCCTAGTCCAGAGGAAACGAGACTCAAGCTTCCAAGAATCTTTGTGGAGTCAAGCAGGATGAAGTCATTCCCCCAGCAATGAGTTGCCACTACAGGTGTGAAGTGTTATCTACCAGTGAGGCTTGCTAGAGACCCAATGCCCGGGGATTTTATTAGGAGCTGTTCACATAGTCACCCTCTGCCTAGCTCGTACTAAAGTTCCCTCTGCCTAGCTCGTACTAAAGTTTTCTAGAAGGAAAGCAGATGCCTAGCTTACACCAGGTGCTTTGGACAAACAGGTTAGGCACAATGAGCCATTCATATCAAGAATGAGGGAAACCCTCCTGCAATCCAAGTTTCCTGATGCCAGTCAAGCAGCAGCCTAGCTAGTCTTAGGCCTGCTGTGTGAACTCTTTTCCTCACAAAAGCTGTAAAAACAGTTTATCTTCTGGATACCAGAGATTGAACTGTGTGTGGTTTGATGGTTTTATTATAAATGTTATAGAATGTAGTTTTATTTCCTCTCCTCTGAAATATAAAATTCTTTTTTTCATAGCTACTGAAACATAAAGACAGAATAATAACCTTTAGAGAGTTAATTGCTAATGAAAAAGCATTTCAAGATCACATTATTGAGGTAAGTTTAACATTTACTACATACTTTAACATAAAAAAAATTCCAGATATTTATGTTCTTTGGATAAATTGGTTGAAGTTGCTTCTGGCTCTAAGTTCTATACTTCTGTAATTCCAGCCACCAATAATGTCTTTGATTTTTAAACTAATAAAGTACTTATTATCAACTGTTGCAAAAGTGTAAAAGTATTGAAAGTGAGCACAAATATATTTAATCTCAGATCACAGACTTTGATTCAGATGAAGCCAAGAATGTCAAAGATGTACCTGTCTTATTGGGAGTCAAACTGGACAAGTACCACAACCTAAATGAGCAGCTTGATTTCTTGGTAAGAAGGACCTTTTATTGCCTTGCTGTCATTTTCATACACAACATCATTCATTAACAAGTTTAAGACATTATCAACCTTCAAAAAAATTCGCTTATTAAAATATTCACACATTGTCATGATAGAAGTATTATTCTCCCACAAAGGTACAAAATGAAAGTTTACATTTTTGGGTTTTGAAATTTTAAATATTGTTCTACCTGGTTTCTGTTTAGACTAATCAGATTTATTTCTTTCAAAATGCAGCAATAAAAAATAGGTGCTATTTTTCATAGTAGCTGAAGCACATTTTTATATTGTTACATATACTACCATGATAGCTTTGTACAACAACCATGATTAAGGGGTGCTTTGGGAATCAGCATTCATAGTTTGCTTTAGATGGCATGTAAACATAAAGGTGGATAAAACAGGAAAAATATATTAGAAGAAAATGAAAATATGGTCTTGTTATCTAGATAGTTATAGAGCAATTTAACAATTCACTAGAATGAAAAAGAACTAATGAAAAATAACTATTTTTTGGTAGCAGTTCGAGAAGTGTAGTTCTAAATTATTAAAGAGCAGCGTTCTATACTAAATTCACTACATACCCATTCACCTTTAAGAGAAAAGAAAAAATCCAATGATGTGAAGGTTCAAAGGTTTTTCTTTTCTAATTTATTAATTTGTTTTCCATTCAATAAGTAATTATTGACTTGCCACAAAAGGTTGAACAGTGCTAGTCACTATGGAGATAGAAAGCTAAATAAAACATAAGCTCTGCTACTAAGGAATCTGGGAAATAAAATAAAATACATTAATAACCCTTTACAAGGAGAAAGTTTTTGGAAAAGAGATACAGTGACTGGCATCTAACAGAGGGATAGTTGTCAAAGGACTGGAGTTCAGAGGAGGAAGAGATGACTTCTACGTGGGAGAGTCATAGAAGAAGGCTTTGTGAAGGAGATGGTAGTTGGTCCTTGAAGAACAGTAAAACTTGGGCATAGGGAAATAAGAGGAGAGCACTCAGTACATTCTGTCATTCATTAGTAGCATCTGTGCTTCAGGCCCTGGTGATACAGAGATGCGAAGAGTGAACCTTAGTCTTTCCAGCAGTGGGAGCTGGAATGGGAACAAGGTTACAAATGACACAGTGTCAGACACACCATGTCACCTTTAAAACATGCTGCAGGCTTTGCTGCACAAAACCAATCTCAGAGAAACCAAATAACTGATGAGGGAGAGTTCTTCATTGAGGAATGTAAGCAATTAAAAGCAAAAGAAAAGATACATCTGGAAAATTATATTTTGTATCCATGAATAAAATAAGGAATGTAAGCAGTTATCATAATGGCCACTGAAACCTTCAGGTTCAAGACTGAAAAGGAGCTTTTAATGAATGAGTCAGACTGACAAAGACCTAAATCCGCTGGTCAATGTCAAACCCGCTAAAGGTGAGAAAGCAGACCTGTGCTCCTGACATGGTGCAGAGGAAGCCCACGACACCATCTACAACGCAACGCAGTCTTGCCAATACCACAGAAGCCAGAGCTACCTGCTAGACCTATCTACTGGTGAACAGGAACTACAGGGGGCAAAGAAACATATTAGAGGACACTGTGATGACAAATCCAGAATGTGGGGAATACTAACAAATAAATAATTGACATGAGAAAAGAGGAAGAAAGGAATAACTGTTACAGACTAAAAGAGACTAGAGACTTAAAGGGCAAATCAACCGGCCGGGCAAGGTGGCTCACACCTGTAATCCTAGCACTCTGGGAGGCTGAGGCAGGTGGATTGCTCCAGGTCAGGAGTTTGAAACCAGCCTGAGCAAAAGCAAGACCCCGTCTCTACTATAAATAGAAAGAAATGAATTGGCCAACTAATATATATAGAAAAAATTAGCCAGGTATGGTGGCACATGCCTGTAGTCCCAGCTACTTGGGAGGCTGAGGCAGAAAGATCGCTTGAGCCCAGGAGTTTGAGGTTGCTGTGAGCTAGGCTGATGCCACGGCACTCACTCTAGCCTGGGCAACAAAGCAGACTCTGTCTCAAAAAAAACAAAAAAAGGGCAAACCAACCAAATGTAGTATGTGAAAACCAACAAAACATCTATGAAAATATATTTGTGAGATAATAGTGGGAAATTGAACTCAGTCTGCATATTACACAATATTAAGAAATATTGTTAATTTTAATAGATGTGATAGTGGTATCATTGTATTTTTCAAAGCCTTTATCAGTAATACATACTGAAAAGTATTTATGAATAAGTTAATATGATGACAAGGTTTGCTTTAAAATACTCCAGGAAAACAAAAAGGTGACAGAGTAGGGTTGGAAAGAGATAAAACAATAATGGAAAGATGTTGATAATTGCTGAAATTAAGTGATGGGTACATGGATTCTACTTCTGTATGTGTGAAATTTTCCAAAATAAAAAGGAGATTTTTTTTTTGTTCTGTTTTTTGTTTTTGTTTTTGTTTTTAATGCAGAGTGTGGTCCAGAAGGCTCACTCTTCATTCTCTAAGGAACTCTGGGCCTGCAGAACTTGGTCTGCTGGAATTCAGTGTGATGGCTCACCCCTGTCCCAGGGCATTGTTATGTGCTTCTCTTCTGGTCCTTCTGACCCCTGTCATTGGTTCTTCTTCACAGTTCCGATCCTGCTATCTGCTACATTAACCTCCTGACCTCCTCTATCCTGAGACAGGGTCCTTGACAGAAGCTTTGCCTTCTGACTGGCTCTAGCACCCTGATGTTTAACTGTCAGCTGCAAAATGTCTCTTCATCCTAGAAGACCTTGATAAGGTCTACCAAATTCAGGAATTTGGTCAGAGAGAACAAGGCAAGAGTCCAGTTAACAGTACTGATGTTCAGGGTTCAAGTTGGGCTTACAGTAAGTTCCTCCTGCATCCCAAATTTGGTAAAATAAGAACCTTTTTATAAAAATAAGATATTCTCTAACCAGAATTATATAATAGTTAAATTTTAAAACCAAATGCTATCCTAAAATATGCTGCCTCAGTATGGCAATTCATATATTACATAAAACATTTACCTAATTTATTATTTTGGTAGCCTTTAAAATTAGCTGTATATTAAAAAAAAAAGAAAATATTTAGAAAGCAGCAAATTCTTTTCATGTTCATATTCATCTTGCATAGTCACAAGAATAGGAAAAGAACAGATGTTAGGCAAAGTAGGAAATTAGTGCTCTAGGAAAAATTTTCTAAGTGAACCAAAAGAAAACAATCAAAACCTGGTATCTCATAGTCTGCCTGAACTATGAAAAGTAACTATCAGTTCCTTGATTTGGCAGAGTGTTAACTTGATTATACTTTACAGTGTGTGGGCCTCTTTGCAACTGACTGACCTCTTTGAGGAAGAGTCTAGGGTCACTAGCACTTGGGTCACACAGGTGGAAGGACTGTCGGCCAGGCGGAATTTTAGTTCCTCAGTTTCCACAGGAAAATGTCAACCTTAGCATCTGTTTTCTTATCCTCGCAAACATCCTGGGCATTTTACAGTAGTCCTTCTGATACTCTGACCCTATTCCTTACCTTCCTGGTTCTGTTTTCTCTGAGTCCTATTCTAAAGCAAGTAGAAGAAACAATATTGTGTGACAGATCCTTGTCAGAGGATATTATATCAATCTATTTGCTGACCAACTCTTTTTTTTTTTTTTTTTATTTTTATAAGTTCAGTCTCCGTAGAGACTGTCAAAAATTGCCAATGCCGACTATATTTCAAGTCGTCATGGCGGGGTATTGGGAAAAGTTTTCAATTAGCAATAATCGCGCCTCGGATAAACCTCATTGGCTACGATACTGCCACTGCGCAAAGCTTGCTGACCAACTCTTAGCAAAAGATTATTTAAGAGGTCATGTATTTCTGAAAGATTATCTATGCAGTTCTTTTTTTCCTCTAGTAGTAATCCTCAATGAAAAAATACATTTTACATCTTAATCAAATATGCATATGCACACACAGCTGAAACACTGGGTTGTTAAATTCGATTTTGTCCTAGTCCATTTTATCTTTTATATTAGTCATAAATTCATTTCATTACTTAATAGAGACACAACCTGTGTCATGTTTATTATCTGAAAGCTGCTGCTTGGAACTTACTATCTTGGCCCTCACAGAATTGCTTTTACTGGGTCATGCTTTTGTGTTATGCCCTTAATCTTAGGAAACATCTTATTTGCTACAGAGAGATTGTTTTTTCTCTTAGTGCCACTTGGATGAGAACTTCCTTTGAGAACTAAGGCCTACTAGGATAAGCTTCTCTTTAGAAACAAGTATCTTTTCATCACATGAATAATGACAACTATATAACTGACCAGATCTTTATTTTGTTTTAGCTATCAGGAAGTTTATTACCAAAAATATATGGCATTGTAGAATAGGTCTTGTCTTCAGATCTGCATGTGGTTTTTTTACCTGTTCTGCACATTCTTGTTTGATTGTTTTGTTTGTTTTTTGGTCCAGGGTCTTGAATACCCTGGCTTTTTTTTTTTTTTTTTTTTTGAGCCAGAGTCTCACTTTGTTGCCCAGGCTAGAGTGAGTGCCGTGGCGTCAGCCTAGCTCACAGCAACCTCAAACTCCTGGGTTCAAGCAATCCTACTGCCTCAGCCTCCTGAGTAGCTGGGACTACAGGCATGCGCCACCATGCCTCGCTAATTTTTTCTATATATATTTTTAGTTGGTCAATTAATTTCTTTCTATTTTTAGTAGACACGGGGTTTCGCTCAGGTGGTTTCAAACTCCTGACCTCGAGCATGCCACCCACCTCGGCCTCCCAGAGTGCTAGGATTACAGGCATGAGCCACCACACGAGGCCAATACCCTGGCGTTGCCATACATGCAAGACACTTGCATCTCAAGTCATGGAGGGCCTCAGTGATCCTCTTGCAGGTGTGTGGTAGCAGGATAATGGCATCCCAAAGATGTCCACAGCCTAGTTTCCAGGACATGGCAGAAGGGACTTTATATCCCTTAATAAAGTAAGGAAT